CACTACAACTAAATTAACCAAAGTATTCTCAGTCCTTTTGGAAAGCAGTAAAATGGTATTTTATGGCACTACTTTACATATTTATGTGGAAATACTCTATCTATATAATTTTTTTACTTAAAAACTTATTAACTAATTAATAATTAAAATCTTATATTTATAGCTTTGGAATAGAAAGAAAAGGGAGAAATATTTTTAATAAGTTGCTACAAAGTTTGTTTATTATTTATTGTTATGTCATATTATGGGATTTTGTTTTAATAAAATTTATTTAATTGATTAATCTTTTTTATCTTAAACGTTATTTAATAAGTGAAATTTGGTATAATAAACTATAGTTAGTGTGGGTAAATATAATTAAAATTTAATCTAAACAACATATTCAAATTCTTTATTAACTTGGATTATTCATTTTATGCATAGTTTTTAAATTTTATATAAAAATAAATAAAAAATAAATGTCAATTAATTTAAAAAATCTTAAGCTGGAAGGGTGTTATAAAATTATCAAAGAAGCTATAGATCAGTTAAATCCAAATATCCATGTTGAGAATTTCTCAGATCCGATTGATATTTGAGCTGAGATAGAGCGAGTAATAGAGCTAATATCAATACGGCCTGTCAATTCCAACCTTTTAAAGGCTTTTAGCGCAAAAAAAAACTCAAGATTTTGTGATCTCGTATTACATAATACACATTACATGTGTTTTTTTGAGTGTGTTTTTTGATATAATTTTTTGTGTAGTTTTTTTGTGTGTTTTTATCATCACCTCATATAAATTATCAAATTTCAACCATTTTAAAAATGGCAATAAATACTTTATAAAATAGAATTAAAATATTTTTTTTCTTAAATATAAATACATTTAAATTAAATAACTCATAATTTAAAATATAAACAAATATTATATTTTTTTTACATATATTTCAAAGTATGGTTTGAGCATTTTGGCTGAAGTAAATCTTATTCTTTTAATTAAAAGTAGTTAAGTAAGTTTAAAACTGTTAAGATCATAAAAGTACAGTTAATATTTTTGGAATTATTTACATTTTTTATATAATACAGTAGTATTAAGTTACAAATTTTTTTACCTTCAGAGCATATTTTAAGATCTTTAGCCAAAGTAAATCAACTTCTTATATTAATTGTAAGTTGTTAGGCAGATTAAAATCTACTTGAATATTAATTTTCACGAAGGTACAGTTAATACTTGATGAGTAATTAACAATTTTCAAAACAGTACTCATTCACGAATTTTATTTTTTTCATTTTGTCACTTCAGAGCGTATTTTGAGCACTTTATCCAAAGTAAACCAACTTCTTATATTAATTGAAAGTTGTTTAGCATGTCAAAATCTACTTAAATATTAATTTTTACGAAGGTATAGTTAACACTTGATGAGTTATTCACAATTTTCACAATAGTACATATTTACGAATTTTATTTTTTCAATTTTATTACTTCAGAGCGTATTTTGAGCACTTTAGCCAAAGTAAATCGACTTTTTTTATTAATTGAAAATTGTTCAGCAGCTTAAAATCTACTTGAATATTTATTTTAATGAAGGCACAGTTAATATTTGTGGTAAGGTTGCAGGTTAAACTGGTTTTTGAATTTGGCAAAACGTCTAAACTTCAGTTTCGTCAATTTTTTTATAAGAATTTATTATAGTTTTGTCATTTCATATGATTTTTATAGTCAAGTTTCGCCAAATTTTTATTAATATTTTAATATAGTTTTGTCAAGTTTTGCGTTTACTATGGAGTTTCGCCTGCAACCTTAATTTGTGAAGTTATTAATTTTTTATAATTATGTGTATTACATTGAATTACAAGTAAATTTATATTCTTAAATGTATTTTGTTTAAAATTTAATTATTTAAGATTAGTTTTTTATTTAATATTGCTTAATAAAATATTTTTTAAAATTTAATTCAATATTACAATATAATTTTTTATAAAAATATATATTTAATAATGTATATACAATTTTTTTGTATAGTGAAAAAACTGAAAAATGTGGTTAAAAATTGGTAATACAGCTGTAAAAAGTCACAAATCAGACAAATATAGCTAAAATTAGCAGTCCGATTTGAATATGCAATTTAAAAATTGGCATATCCAATTTTTGTCAATTCATGCTAAAAAATCGGCTACAAAAAGCTATAAATCAGACAAATATAGCTAAAAATTGACTATCTGATTTTTTGCCAATTTTTATTTATTTGACGTGTGATAGGGTAAGTTTTTCTACACTTTAAAGCATCAAACAATACTAGTAGTGTACTGAACAGGTCGGGTCAATTCGGGTGACCCGTCGGGTTGACCCAAAAATTTTGGGTTAGGTCATCAAATTCATGACCTGACCTCAGTTTGACCTGACCCATTGACCTATTTGACCCGACATAATATTTCTGGTCAAATATGTAAAAAAAATACTAAAAACGTTTTTTTTTGCATTATTATTAAGAAAAAACGTTTTGACGTTTTTTCATATAAAATTATTAGAAAAAAACGCTGAAATGTTTTTTTTTGTATTAATTATTATAGAAAAACATTTCAGCGTTTTTCATATAAAATTATTAGAAAAAAATGCCAAAATGTTTTTTTTGCATTATTATTAAGAAAAAACGTTTTGGCGTTTTTTCATATAAAATTATTAAAAAAAAATGCTGAAATGTTTTTTTTGTATTAATTATTACAGAAAAAACGTTTCAGCATTTTTTCATATAAAATTATTAAAAAAAAATGCGAAACGTTTTTTTTTGCATTATTATTAAGAAAAAACATTTCAGCGTTTTTTCAAATAATAATATCAAAAAAAATGCTGAAAATGTTTTTTTATTGCAATACTATTAAAAAAAACATTTCGGCATTTTTTCATATAATAAATATTAAAAAAAATGCCAAAACGTTACTTTTTTAACAGAAAAACGTCAAGTTTAGCGGGTTTTGTTTTTTTTTAACTAAAAAACGTCAGATTCAACATTTTTCATAAAAAAACTTTTCTTTAACTAAAAACGTTGAGTTTGACGTTTTCAATTAAAAAACCTGTATTTTTTTATTTTTTTAGTCATTTTTGATATACAGGTCAAACGGGTCAATAGGTCGAGTCGGGTAAGACGGATTACCCGACCTGACCCAGTTTTTTTTGTCGGGTTGGATAAGACGGATTACCTGACCTGACCCGACCCATTCAGAACACTAAATACTAGTATCTGCTAATATATACTACCCAAAAACTCACTGTTGTAAAATCACAATTATTAAAAAATTCGCAAGAATTTTTGTTAATACTGTTTAATTTTTAAGCAGTATCAAGGAAAATTCTCATGAATTTTTCTTAATACTACTTAATTCTAATTTAACTAATTTAGTATTAAGGTTTTAATTTAAAAATTAAGCAGTATCAAGGAAAATTCTTGTGAATTTTTCTTAATAC